GATTAGAAATAAAGCGTCTCAGATATTTATATATATATATATATATATCTATGTGTGTGTGTTGCGTACCCCGGCCTGTTGGTTGGCATCCTCGGGCTCAGGTCGGGGGTTTGAATCCCCTCTGACACAGTTGGCCTTAAGGTGATGGTACTCAAATTGTTAGGCATATTAGGGGTGACTGGAGTCTCGTATAATAACCTCTGGCCATTCTTTATTATGATTAACCAGGTAGAAAAATGGAACTATACCTTTGCAATGGAAGGGTACTTCCACAACATGATTTGATTCTGAGAATAGCCATGAGTGCTAACTAGTTCATTCACATTCTTCGACCACGCAAGGCTACAAACCTACAATATAACCAGAATTGAAGTTAATTGTCAAGGGAGAAAAGTTTTAGAATGGTACCTAGACTCTTTGTCCTCAATTTAATCCTCGAATTCTTCTAAACTTTCAGAATTGAAGTTAACTTTTAAAGGAGAAAAATTGTCAAAATGGTTCTCTGACCCTTTTTATAGGGAAAGCTTATTTTAGTCTTATAGTATATAAAAATGTTAATATAGCCTTCGAACTCTTTTAAAGGAGGCTGACGGAGTCTCCGTGCTATTTTAGCCCATATAGAAAGAGTCTAGAGACTAATTTGATACATTCATAAACTCTGAGACTAAAATGATGCAGTATAAATAATCACAGCACTATTTTGAAACACACATTTGCATGATCATACCTGACTGCCAGTATCGACACACTGCAGCATATTACTCTTAGATGTGTTCCAGAAGCGAATGCATCGATCAGCTGTTCCGCCCCCTGAAGCAAGAAGACCCTGCTGATGTGGAGACCAAGCTATGGCTTTTACTGCAGCTGTATGATCTGTGAATTTCAATACTGGATGTTGTGACCTCTGGTTCCAGATTAGAAGCTGATATTGTCATTTAAGCACAAACAAAATGGGTAATATTTAGCAATATATCTGCTAGCAGAAGAAACATGAAAAAAAATGGGAAATTTACATACGAAGCACACAATTCTTATGTATTTACATATCTCACAAACAAAACTTTCATATTAATATACACATCATTTCGGTGCGTTAAACAAATGCATGAAAAGGCATATTTTATATTATTTTTGATGTGGTGATATTAAAGATACGATGAGTGCTGTGTGTAAATATGAAAGTTTAGGTGTCACATAGGAAAATATATAAGCATTGTGTGATATGTATGTAAATGCCCAAAAATGTGAAAAATGAATAGAAGATGCCTAATTTACACTAACCTGATTGTCATTTCCACCTGATGCAAGTTCTCTATCATCATGAGACCACTTCAGTCCACAGACCTTATGAAAACAAGAGATTTATGTATATATAAAAGTAAGAAAATTCTAAATTATTCATTTAAAGTCTAAAGGTTGGTTACCTCGGATCGGTGGCCCAAAAGTTTGTTGATGAAATCGTTTGGGATGCGGAGATCATGCTGCACTATATTTTTGTCCCTACTTCCAGAAGCCAAAATGCAGGTGCTCCATGCCAATACTCCGGTTCTTGTTTGATGACCTCCCATCGTCCGGATCTTTTTGCATCGAGCTACATCCCAAATCTAAAAATTACATATCTTGAGTTAGATGTTACTTGTTAATGTCAAATTTGAGCTTCCAAGCTTTCTTAATGGCGTTGAGAGATATTCAGTTCTTTTGCAGTCAGAATATCTAATCCTTTCAAACTCACACATAGAAATGGTTCAAAAATCACAAGATTTTCTTTGATCAGAATCTCAAATATTGCTTTTATTATATAGGTAATCATCTTATTTGAAAACAAGATACGTATGGGCTTTCAAGAAAATTTAAAATAAAATGTAGCATTTACATACCACCCAATTCCTACGTATTTACATATATAACACCTAAACTACCTAAACTTTACTTTTTACCTAAACTTTACTTTTTTACATTAATACCGCCCAAATCTTTTATACCACATAAAAAGTACCACCATTTTAACATTTAAAAAGTGAAATACATTTTCGTACATAAGTAAAATGGCATATATGTAAAAGTTGAATTTTACGTATTAGATATGTAAATACATAGGAATTGAGAGGTATGTATGTAAATCTTCCTGCAAAAAATAGTTAGCTGCAACACCAGCTTCCTACCTGAATATCTCCAAGCGTTGTTCCGACAGCAAGATATGATCCCTCTCGAGTCCATTGCACAGCACAAACACCATCACTATTTCCCAAATCACATAATTTTGTCACCTGGATTAATGCACAGAGAAACCACATTAAGAATCAATCATAAAATGTACATGTATTTAAATAAAAATTGTTGAATCCTATTTTGTCCATGGGGTTATGCCAAAATCGTACTGACCCAACGTAAATGAGAAGGGTCAAAAAAGTAAAATTTCTTTGCGTAAGGTCCATTATGTCATGTAAAGAGATGAATAGAAATTTCCTAGGATTTGTGGTAGAATGGGAGCAATGAGAGGCCAAACCTTGCTGGTTGATGCATTCCAGAGGTAAACACAAGTTCCTAATCCAACTGCAAGAGCATTCTGAGAGGACCAATCCACAAGGTTCAGGTAAAAATCATCTTGAAGTGAGGGGGCATCCAAAATCTGTATTTCATAAATCAAAATGAAATGTTTACAAATTTTGTGCTGTAGAAAATTTCATATAATCTCCTTCTTTTATAGTTGTACTATTAAACATCCAATGCAAATGTAATTGAAATAATTAATAATATTAAAAACAACAAAAATGAAGTTTTAAAATGAATTAGGTGAAAGTATTATATCTATTTTACTGCAAAAAAGAAAGCCCTATATCAAATTTATAGGATGCATAAACTAGTGTACATAAAATTGGAAGTTGAAATTGTCTAAATTTATAGATGCCATATAAAAAAGTTTTGAATTTAATATCAAAAAATGTTAGTAGGAATACATAAAATTAATATAAAATGCCACAATGTAACCTTAAGTTTTAAATAATAATATTAAGCAATATAAAAAAATTACATATTATCTTCCTTTTTCATTTTGAATTGAAATTAAACATTATAATATTTTATTTATCTTAAAACATGTATTTTAAAAGGTTTATTTAATGGTTACATATATAAATTTAAATTATAATGAAAAATTAGTTGCACTTTTTCACTTAAATTTATTTGTTAAACTTTTAATCATTTTCGCTCGAATTGGGACCTTATATTAAAAAATAATAATTTATTTAATTTTATTACTTTAATTAACCCTTCTAAAATAAAGAAGATTGTGCCATTTAGTAATTCATGAACTTTTATCAACGATTTTCAAGAAAATTATTAGTTCAATTATAATTTGTTGCGACAGGGACAAAAAAGAAATATAAAAAAAGCAAAAGCAATTCCATATGAGCCCGAATAATAGTATCACTATTCATAATTCTTTTACTTCTATAAAAATTATAACTAAATATTACTAAATTACAATATTCATATTTTAATGATTTCATTTATTTAATTATGTATTTATTTTTAAACCGAAATTAATTTATATATATATAACAAATTATTTACTGAACAAATATACCTATTTTTAAGTTGTTAATTGATATGTATATAAATGGCAAATGGGTATGATTAGCAATTATACATTATTTGTGTGTTGAAAATTATTTTGTATATAGATATGATTTTTTTGGTTATCAATTATGAGTTGTTTTGTATAATGTTGACGATATAGAAATAGATAATTCCCCACTTTTATCGCACAATTTATTTAGAAAGATATATAGGGGTAGGCATATTTGTTATGTGTCATTATAATTGAAGGAGATCATTTTAATCCCAAAATTTATAAACTGTACATTTACTCACCAAACTTGTTTAGGTTGAAATAGTAGTAGTCAATGAAGATTATTTGGCCCTCATTGAAAGAAACAAAAAAAATTAATTAAGAAGTTTTATAAACTCTAGGACTAAAATGACCCGATATAAATATTTTGGGGATTATTTTGACATCATAAAATTGTAAGAAATTTTCGTAGAACTTGCCAACAAAAAACTTCAAAATAAATCTCAGTTTAGCCATATCAATTATACAAGAACCTGCCACTTCAATTTAAAAAATAAATAAATAAATAAATAAACAACTACAAAGCTTGATCATTTAGGAAATAATAAATAACTAATAACTAATTTTGTAATGGTGATATTAAACGATAAATCCTTCAAAAAATTCAAACAATATTATTTAAGGCCCATTCGATTCCATTATTTGTTTGTACACAATTTGAAATCAATATGAATTATGAACTCAATAACACTTTCATTTCTTTAAAATTAATGGCTTGATTTTGACATTCAAAATAAATGAAAATAAAATCATGAGTTTTCTATCTACAAGCAACCAAACAAGCTCAAAGTAGAGTTTCTCAAAACCCTTATACATATGCAAGTTAATTAAATTTGTGCCACATCTTTTTCTCAAAAATTAGCTTGGAAATTAGAAAATTTATTTTGATAAATCTTACTCCTGCCTGTTGGCATTTACCCAAAAAAATTTCACACAATGTCAAAAAATAATAAACAATGAAACCACCACTGGCAACAAAATGCAGGGCTTTAATTCTTTCTTATAGCTGATAATCAATTTTTTAGGTGAGTATAACATTATTCTATATAAAAGGATTAAATATTTACCAACTACTATTTCATTATATTATAAAAGATTTGATGCTCAGCTCTCAAAAACTGAAAATAACACAATGAAAAAACGTTAAACAAATCGAAAGTTGATGTGCATAACACTTCCTGCTGTTCGTCAAAATTGAGATAATGTGCTCAATAGATAAGATTGAACCGAGCTCCTGAATTTAACCAAACTAGAAATTATTACAGATTTTCAGATTCGATTAAAAGGCTGATAAGAAATTTGAAAACTCCAAATTAGAGTTCCAATGCAGAACAGAATAAATGTTTATGTTCAGTTTTTGAGTAAAGGAGCTTTCTCCGGAGCCAAGATTACCTTATGTGGAGTCTTTGGTATTTTTCTTGGTGGCTTTGGACATGTGGAGCATTCAGGCCCTCCATCTTGACCAGTGACGATGCCGGACAACGGTGAGCTTGGCGATGAGTGGTCAATCTTAAACCGAAACATGTTCTTATTTGGAGTTTGCGGCGATCCCTGCTCCCCGCCGGCCGGAGAAAAGGAAAACGTCTCGGTGCCGAAGAGCTCAGCTCTCAGTAGCCGCAAGTATAGATCGTTAGTTCCCTCCTTCGCCGGAGAGGGCTTATCCACCACCGTGAAGGTTTCTAGCCTGGAAGATGACCGGCAGGGGATAAATCGGTCACTGTAGATTACCTTCTTCGGCGACGGAGACTTTGGGATAACTGGGAAATGGGTTAGCGACGTGTCGAGGCGGAGAGACGATTCCAAGCCGGCGGGCAAGTTCAAGCGGCTCTTCTTTGGATCCATTTTCGATAGCTCTCCTTTCGCCCGGCAAGAAGATGCTTTTTGGGCGAGAAAAAGAGAGAGAGAGAGCACCTGCTAGGGCAGCAACGGTCACCGGATGAAGTGTTATTTTGAAGAGCTATTTTAGCGATTTTTAGCAGGAGGAACCTTTACTGCGCTCAAGTAGCCGTTGGACGACACAGGGTTTTTTTTTTCTTTTTTTAAAGTGGCTAATATTTAACTCAAGTAGAAATTCAATAAATCCTGTAAATTCAGATTTTTGAACTTTAAGGCAATTAAATCTTTGATAATATAATTCAGGATATCGATCAAATATAATCAAATCCAGTAAAGTTATTTGATAATATAGTTTAGGATATTGATATTTTAGGCTAAATATAAATGTAATATTATCTATAATTGATGTAATGATATAATTAATATTGTCTATTTCTAATTATATTAACAAGTAAGTACATAATCAGTAAGTCAATAATCAATAAAAAAAATTTTGTTAAATTAATCAATCATTAATTACTATTTTAATATTCAATAATAAGTGAAAATTAATTATTAATTAAATGTTTTAATTATTAAGTAGAATTTCACTTAAACTATTTAAATATTAATTAGTACTAATTTTTTATAAATTAATTTTAGATTTGAACTTGATTTCAAGTATGGTGGAGTTTTGAATTTTGAGAGAAGCTTAGATGTTTAGCGTAATGTAATACCTACCAAGGCTAGATTCATAATTATCAAATTAAGATCACTATGCTCAAAACAATTTAAAAAAGATTCAAGCTCAAGGGGCCCGAGGGATGCACGTTCACGTTAACAGTGAAGCACATTTTAACGGATCTGCTTTGATGGACAAGTGAAAAGCATGTATTCTCTAGCTCATCTTTTTGCCTACCTTTTCTCAAACAGGTCTTCCATATAGATGAATTGTATGTTATCTATGTAAATGTCCCAATTCTTCACTACTCCATCATCAAATTGGTAAATGATGCAAATTGAATTTAATAGAGAATAGATCAAGCATTTGAAACGCAATTGGACGTTGTTTTTAAATACGTGTTTCTCTCTATCTCTAATGTGTGTGATTCAACCATAATGATTAAGTTCAACATGTAATTTGATCTTGTCACTTTAAAGGGTGCTCCAGGGATCTCTATTTTTTCATGCAATGTTGGTGGAGTGGCTTGGAAGGCTTATGCTTTCGTAGGCAACCACGGCAACCACTTGCCATTGGGAGAGATCATGTGGGCGTAACTGCCTTTTGATGGAATTATGGTGAATCCGTGCCACAGTTTTATATTTTCTTTCAAACTTTTATATATCCTCAATCAACTGTTTTGGGTGTTAAAGTGGATTGTAATTTCGCTGAATTTGTAATCTGTCATTGTTTTTTTTTCAATCTAATTTTAGGGAGAAAAATATTTATTCCTCTTTCTTTTCAAAGAAAATGATTACAAAGAAAATATAGGAGGTTGACTTCTATATTATTAAAATAATAAGTACCCATAACTCTCCATGATTAAAGAAGAAAAGTATGATTTGTGACATTCCAATAATAGAAGTTATTGAAAATAGAAAATACTAGCAATAAGAGAAATTAAAAATCTAACGTTCCCTTGGGTTGGAGCATATGTATTCGGCATGGCAACCTTGCTTAGGAGAAGTTTAAAATTAGGCCAGAACAATGCTTGTGTGAATCTATCGTTCTCCACATATTCTGTGTGGTGATGTTGCACAAAATTTTCTGCAATGCTGTCGGTACTAAAAAGTCTGGGGGTTGTCCGTTGGAAGCTGTCGGTCGCCGGAATAGAAATTTTGTTGCCCGCTTCGGAAAAGCATTTAATTTACATATATACATAAGCCTAGAAAAATATGAAATCAAACTGACTCCATATCTTTTATAGTTTAAATGAAAGAGTACTACACCTCAAGCCATGTATATATCCCGAAAGATAAACGCAAGACTTGAGGGTGAGGCTCGATCAAATAAACTAAAAAATATATGACATCCGTTTGGTCGATGTCAAAATAATTTTATTTATAAGCCGACAAGTTCCCCTATTTAGGGTCCGTTTGAGAGCGCTTATTGGAAGCGGCGGCGTTTTGAAAACGCCACTCTTCCGTTTGAAAATCACGTTCGCATGGGACGTGTTGAAAAAGCGTCGTTCTCTTATCGCGATTCCCTTAAGGGAGCGTAATCTGGCCAGGAGCTCCGTTCCGCGTACGCTTTTCGCTTTTAGGTTATTTTTCCCGTGCTGTCCTTCCCGTCTCTCCCCCTTGCCCTCACCCTTCCCGTCTCGCCATTTCGGTCTCGACCTCACCCGATGCTTATGAGGCTGTGATCCGCGATATTAGGTATTTTTTTGACCTCACACTCTCGCCCTACCCGATATCTGTCTCCTTCCTTCCCGGAGGCCGTATTCGATCCTCTCACAGTAATTTCTGTTTCTATGGTCGTTGTAAATGAAACATTGGAATTTTTTGCTGCAGAATGTTTGATTTACTGTGAAATAGTTAGGATTCTTCTCCTTTGTTCAAATTTTCATGCTTGGGATTTTTTACCATTTTTATTGCGGTTGAAATGATAAGGAAGATCCTTCTCCTTTGGGAATGATGCTTTTAATTATGGGGAAACATTGAATGCAAGAATGCTTGGGAAGATTTTCATTTCCCTGGATCGGGCTCTATTGAATGCTGAAACATATAGAATTGGGCTCTGTTGGAATCATGAGCTCATTGTTCTTTTTATCATGTTATGTTCTTTACATTTTCAGCTGAAATATATTCTATCATGTGCGATTCTATGCCACAGATATATATACATGGAGCAGATCCACTTCATCTTTTTAGGTCAAAAGCATTTCCACGCTCTGAAACTTTGAAAGTGGTATTTAGGATTATCCATGAGAGTCTGGATAAATGTCGTTTTCACAGTTTCATGGTTGTTTTGTCTTTTAGCCGAAGTTTACGGCTGCTTCAGTAGGTTTTATATGTTTTTGAAATAAATATATCAATTTGGTGAGGACTTTGTTTTTATGTGGTTAGGGCAACCACCATTGTTATTCTATCAGCTCCTGCCGAGGAAACTTTGGTATCTGCGGGCTGTGTTGGTGAATTGATAACTTTGTTAAGTTTCTTCTTGAATTGATATTGTTTCCAAAAGAAAATTGGAAAATTTACACACCTAGCACCAATTATGTTGTTTTTTACATTTCTCACACCTATTTTAAATCCATGCAAGAAAAAAGCTGCACTTCACTTTTACGAAGTGGTAATATTGCTTTTTTTATGTGATATCAAAGATCTCTGCGCCAGGTGTGCAAATATGAATAATTGGGAGGGAGATTTGTAAATACATAAGAATTGTGTGCTATGTATATATCGTGAAGTAACCAAAATCTTTATTTGAAGCTTCTATATTAATCTGGTCATGGAACTAATATAAATGTTCAGATCTCTTTTTATTAGTTTTGATGAAGGTTGAGTTTTCAAGACCTTACCTTTCTGTTCAATATCTGTTTTACTTTTGAGTATATTGATGGGACTCTTTTCTGTTCAAAATCATCGTGGGTTCTGATACTCCGACATAGTGGATCACTTAAAAGGCAATTTGGGGCCTTCTTGATTTACATATCTTTGAAGGGGCATTTGCATACAGATCACATAATTCTTATGTATTTACTTTTTCACCATAATTGATGATTTGAGGCTCTGTTGGATCCCTTTTTCTCACCATCTAAGCATAAACTGAATGTTACGAATGAGAATGGTTATAGAATTGGGGAGCTGAAACACATGAGAGGAGCTATGGAAAATTCTTTTTCCTGTTTTTTTTTTCGTACAAAAAATGTTGTATGAAGGGATGATTTTGGTCTTCATTTTTGCAATGCTGAAAGTTATGTACTCTCTTTGTCCATTTGTTGGGCTCGGTTTTGGTCCCTATATGACTGGATTTTGGTTTTAGTTAAGCTTTTGCAGCTTTCGTTCCATAGGGAGCTCTGTATATATTTATCTGTTTTTTTTTTCACCATAAGTGATTTTAAGGCTCTGTTGGATCCCTTTTTCTCAACATCTAAGCATACACTGCACATCTAAGCATAAACTGCTTTAACATCACCTATATTTCTACAATACAGATAACAGTGAAGGCTTAGGTACTTACAAAATCTGATACAAGTCATTTATTACAAGTCATTGATATCAACATGGCTTCCAGAGTATCTCTTAAAAGTTGGAACTTCACTTCCAATTTGGTTATAGTTTTATGTTATAATTAAGGTGCAAGTCTGCGGGCTATGTTGGTGAATTGATAACTTTGTTAAGTTTCTTCTTGAATTGATATTGTTTCCAATAGAAAATTGGAAAATTTACACACCTAGCACTAATTCTGTTTCTTAAATCCAATAGAAAACTGTCATATTTACACACATAACACTTTCGTTTTTTAAATCCATGCAAGAAAAAAGCTGCACTTCACTTTTACGAAGTGGTAATATTGCTTTTTTTATGTGATATCAAAGATCTCTGCGCCAGGTGTGCAAATATGAATAATTGGGAGGGAGATTTGTAAATACATAAGAATTGTGTGCTATGTATATATCGTGAAGTAACCAAAATCTTTATTTGAAGCTTCTATATTGATCTGGTCATGGAACTAATATAAATGTTCAGATCTCTTTTTATTAGTTTTGATGAAGGTTGAGTTTTCAAGACCTTACCTTTCTGTTCAATATCTGTTTTACTTTTGAGTATATTGATGAAACTCTTTTCTGTTCAAAATGATCGTGGGTTATGATACTCCGACATAGTGGATCACTTAAAAGGCAATTTGGGGCCTTCTTGATTTACATATCTTTGAAGGGGCATTTGCATACAGATCACATAATTCTTATGTATTTACTTTTTCACCATAATTGATGATTTGAGGCTCTGTTGGATCCCTTTTTCTCACCATCTAAGCATAAACTGAATGTTACGAATGAGAATGGTTATAGAATTGGGGAGCTGAAACACATGAGAGGAGCTATGGAAAATTTTTTTTTCTATTTTTTTCGTACATGAAATGTTGAATGAAGTGATGATTTTGGACTTCATTCTTGAGCTTTATTATTCTTATTGCTCTCCAAATCAATGCTGAAAGTTA